TTCTGGCATTTGAACACCGCAAGGTCTAGCTGGAAATTGTTGTCCAGCACCTTGATCCATTTCCCTTTGGGGTAGATGGCATCGTCGATCTGTGCTTTAGTGTTTCCTGCCATTTTAAACTGTAGAAGCAGGAGGTCAGCATATGAAATTCAACTGTTTGATTTGATTGAAAGAGTTTGATTTGCAGTTTTCAGATAAGTTTATGCAGGTGGAATTTTGAAAAAAAATTGCAAAGTTCAAATCTCGAGATCTGTATCTCGAGATCATGATTTCGAGATCCAAATCTCGAGATCTTGATTTCGAGATTCAAATCTCGAGATCAAGATGTCGAGATGCAGATCTCGAGATCTTGATTTCGAGATTCACATCTCGAGATCAAGATGTCGAGATGCAGATCTCGAGATCTTGATTTCGAGATTCAAATCTCGAGATCAAGATGTCGAGATGCAGATCTCGAAATCTTGATTTCGAGATTCAAATCTCGAGATCAAGATGTCGAGATGCCCATCTCGAGATCTTGATTTCGAGAAGATGAACCGACGAATTTTGAAGAGCTTTTCCACCTGTAAAAACAAAGATATAACAAACAATAACAAGCGATTTCGACATACATTCAAACGAAAAAAAACTAATTTGATTTTGATTTTTTTTTTGGAAAATTCAAGGGTTTATTTGTGCGAAATCAAGAGTTTGTTTCTCGAAGACGAACACGAACAGGTTTTCGAGATGATCGTTCGTATTCGAGATGGTCGTTCGTATTCGAGATGGGTGATTGCCACTTGAGCGTTAACTACCTTCGAAGGATGTCGGAAAGAGAGGTTCGAAGAAGAAGGTAGGTTTGCGAGAACAAGGGTTTTGTGAAGTCGAGGAGCTCTGCGATTTTCAAGCCTTTGCGAAAAGTTTAGAATAGGAAGTGAAGGGATTTTCCGAGGCTTATATACGCGAGAAAAAAATATTTGGACCTCCTCCGTAACAATTGAGCCCGAATGATTGGGCTGGCACACAGTGCCCTTAAAAAATTCGAGGCCCAAACCAGTAAAAATAGAGAGCTCCCCCTTAATCAGTGAAAATTTGCTCCCCCTCAAACAGTGAAAATCCTCTCCCCCTCAAAAAATACAACGAACAATATGTACAAATGCAACGCACACACACTATTTTTTGTTCTTTTTGATTTTTCACCCACTCAACACATGCAACGCACACACACTGTTTTTTTTTGTTATTTTTCTGGTTTTCTCCCCCTCAACACATGCAACGCACACACACTATTTACAAATCCCACACACACACACTTTATAGATCAGTGGAGACATAATTAAACGGGCTCGAGGTTCAACATGCCCAACTTGGAGACTAGGAACTGGAATCGTTTTTCATCCAATGCCTTAGTGAACAAGTCAGCCAGTTGAAGCTCTGAGCTTACAAAATACATGTCAATGTCTCCTTTCTCCACATGATCCTTGATGAAATGATAGCGCAGGTCGATGTGTTTGGTGCGGGAGTGATGAACTGGGTTGCTGGTGATGGCTATGGCGCTTTGAGAGTCACTGTAGATCGGGATATGACGGAGTGTGTAACCGTAGTCTTTTAGCTGGGTCTTCATCCATAATATTTGTGAACAACAGCTAGCAGCCGCGACGTATTCTGCCTCGGCCGTAGATGTTGACACACAGTTCTGTTTCTTGGAAGACCAGCAGACTATCTTATCGCCCAAGAATTGGACAGCTCCCGATGTACTTTTGCGGTCCATCCGGCAACCAGCAAAGTCAGCATCCGAATATCCGACTAGGTCAAAACCTGAGTGTTTGGGATACCAAAGGCCTAGATTCACAGTGCCTTTGAGGTATCTCAGAATTCTTCGAACATCGGTCAGATGGGATTCCTTCGGATTTGCCTGAAAGCGTGCACATAAGCATGTGGAGAAGACAATGTCAGGCCTGCTTGATGTGAGATATAGCAAAGATCCAATGATGGCCCTGTAGTTTGTAGCATCAACTGGCTTCCCGGAGGGGTCTGAGTCCAGTTTGTTGTTTGGGGACATGGGGGTCGTCATGGAAGATTTGCTATCAATGTTGAATCTCTTAAGCATTTCCAGAATATACTTCGACTGATTGATGAAAATGCCGTCAGAGAGTTGTCTTACTTGCAGGCCTAGGAAGAAATTCAGTTCTCCCATCATGCTCATCTCGAACTTGGTTTTCATCAGTTTCTCAAAGTGTTTGCACAGGCGTGGATTTGAGGAGGCGAAGATAATGTCATCAACATAGATCTGAATCAGGATGATGTCAGACTTCTGTCGCTTGATGAAAAGTGTGGTATCAATCTTCCCTTTTGAGAAACCTGAGTCAGTCAGAAATTCGGTTAATGCATCATACCAAGCTCTTGGTGCCTGTTTTAACCCATACAGAGCTTTCTTTAGCTTGTACACATGGTCGGGATATCTGGGATCTACGAATCCTTCAGGTTGAGAGACATAGACTTCTTCTTCCAAGACTCCATTTAGAAAGGCAGTCTTGACATCCATTTGAAAGACAGTAAAGTTCTTGTGGGCCGCGTACGCAAGAAAAAGGCGGATTGCTTCAATTCTTGCTACGGGTGCAAATGTTTCATCATAGACTTTGGATGGTTCATTCTTGCTTAGAAAGCATGCATAGTGACATTCATTTGTTGTTGCTGATCTCGTTCGCACACCTTGACTTGGATTACCTATTATTTGTTCAACAGGATGTGCTCTTGTCCACTTCCTCTCATGAGCTAGAGGAGTTGGAGTAATTATTGGTTGATCTGAGTCCTGATATGAATTTGAAGGCTCTGGGGCAGCTGTGGTGTGTAGTGGAGATGATTCCGGACCTATGGCAAAGCTGTGATCATCCACACCTCTGGGATTGGTTTGAGGGGTTGAGGGTGTGGATGGTACGTCATCTGGTCCTGTGAGGAGCGGAATCTCTGCTGTTGGAGTTGATGTTGACTCTGGAGTGTATGCTGGAGGTGGAGATTGTGAGTTCTCGTAAAAGTTTCTGAAGAGAGAGTCGAGAATCACATCGTCGTGTTCGGTGTTTGGTTCAGCTTTATCAGAAGCTACTGGTACAGCAGTGGATGGATCGGTCTGGAGATGTTCAATAGCAAAGTCTGCCATTTCATAGAATGTAATGTTTACACTCTCGATGACAGTCCGCTTGTCTCTGAGATAGACTCTGTAAGCTTTGGATTGCAGTGAGTAGCCAAGGAACACGCCTTCTCTGGCTTTGGGATCCAGCTTACTTCTCTCTGTCCGATCATTGAGTATGAATCACTTGCAGCCAAAAACCTTGAGGAAAGAAATATCAGGAGTTTTGTTGAATAGGATCTCATATGGAGTCTTGTCGAAGCGCTTGTGGATGAAGGTTCTGTTCTGAGTGAAGCACGCAGTATTGATTGCTTCTGCCCACATGAAGTGAGGCAGTCTTGATTGAATTAACATGGTGCGTGCTGCTTCAACAAGGGTTCTGTTCTTTCTCTCAACAACTCCGTTCTGCTGGGGAGTTTTGGCTGTTGCAAATTGCTGAGTGACACCGAGTGATTCATAGAACTCAGTGAGAGTCTGATTTTTGAACTCGGTACCATTGTCAGTTCTGACAATTCGAACACTGTGCTGTAGCAGTTTCTGGATCGTTCTGATAAAGGTCATAATGATTTCCGCAGCTTCGTCTTTTGATCGAAGAAATTTTGTCCATGTATACCTAGAGAAGTCATCAACAATCACCAGAGTGTATTTGCGACCGTTGATGCTTTGTACTCTCATAGGTCCACACAGATCCATGTGTATTAGCTGCAACTGATGAGTAGATGAAGGTTCAGTTTTTGACTTGTGGGAGCTTCGCGTCATTTTGCCCATTTTGCAGGCACTACAATGATTTTCAGCGGAAGACTTTAGCAGAGGAAGCCCCTTGACAAGTTTCTTGGAGGACAAGGTTGATAGATGTTTGAAGTTCAGATGGGAGAGACGTCTGTGCCATAGGTTGTTCTGTTCAGTTGAAGCTTTGGACAGCAGACAGATGGAAGTGGTGGATTGGACGCTTTTCAGATCAATAGTGTACAGATTTGATGTTCTGTAACACGTTAATAATGTATTTCCTGTGCTGTCAAGAACACAACATTGTTTTGCAAAGAACCTCACTTCCATCCCGCTGTCACAGAATTGTCCAATGCTCAGTAAGTTGTGTTTGAGCCCTTTGACGAATGAAACATCTTTTATTGTGACACTGGCACAGACGACGTCCCCATACCCAAGGATAGGAGATGAGGCGTCATTCCCAAATATGACATTTCCTCCGTAGCAGTTGGTGTAGTTGCTCAAAAGGTGCTTTATTCCGGTCATGTGGGTTGAGCATCCTGAGTCTAAGTGCCACACATGACCGTCCTGCAAAACAATCAAATAAGATCAGGTACCCAACTTGGAGTGGGTCCTTCCTTATTATCAAGAAACACTTTTTTAAAACTTGCTTTGAGCAGTGATCCAAGGTCAGCTGCTCTTTCAACAAAAGATCTATCTTCGATGGGCTTTCCAATTGCCAGATCTGCTTTTGCAGTGTGTCTGGTTTTTGGAGTCCACCTAGCACTTTCCATTTTGGTGGGTCTGATGTTGTGAACCCACCTTTCCATTTTAGTCCTTGTGGGTCTAAGTTTGGGGACCCACCTTTCAGTTGCAGTTCTGATGGGTCCTTGATTTGAACCCCACCTATCAGTTTTAGTTATGATGGGTCTACGATTGGGAACCCACTTTTCAGTTTTAGTTTGGATGGGTCTTCGTTTGTGGACCCACCTATTCGATTCAGGTTTGGTAGGTCTCATCTTGGGGACCCACTTTTCAGTTTCAGTTTTGACGGGTCTTATCTTGGGGACCCATCTTTTCGGTTTAGGTTCAGGAGGAGAGTAGACAGGAGCTGTGTGATTGAACGGTTGTTTTTTGAGTTTGGTTTTGAAAATCTCCTCCTTAGAAAGCCGATTAACATGTTTCCTAGAATGAACTCTAAGAGCGTATTTCATATCTGGAATACAAAACGTTCCCTTAGAAGTTTCTTTCTTGGTTTCCTTTTCAGGTTTAAGCTTTCTGGAAGGCTTAGATTTAACAACATTCATCTCACATTCATAATTATGGGGATCTGGAACAGAATAACCATAAGCAACACTTGTATTATAAATAGAACTTTGTCTAGAAGATGTCTCAGAGATATTCAGCTTGGGACTCAAGACTGAATTGTTAGAAGTTTGCTTTGTAGAGACAGAATTATAATTAACTTTTGAGTAAAATATTGAACTAGATCTAGGGCTGGTACTTTTCTCAAAAACTTTCTTTTTGCCTTCTGCGATTTCCTTCCTCTTTTTCCTCCACTCATTCTTCTCTTCTCCTTCCTTATTCACTTCATTCCCTGTAAACAAAGGAGAAGAGAGATGAGTGGACGAACCTTTTAAAGCATTGTTTTTCTCATGTGAGGTGTGTGAGCTGTCAGGCTTGGTCGTAGAAAAGTCTGATTTAGCATGAAACTGCTCACTCAAATCATTAAATTTTTGAAGAAGTTCCTGCCAGTTGCGCTCAAAACCTTTCTTTTCTGTTTCAAATCTCTCTCTCTCGTTATCAAGAGTTTTCTGTAGGTTTTTGAGCTTTTGAGCCATTGGAAAAATACATGGTTCCTCACCAGTTTTAGCAATACCTACTCTCGGGGGAGGGTCTAGAGGGTGTCCTATGTGAGGAATATCTTTGGCATAAGGGTCTAGGCATTCACTAAAGCAGGAAGTCGGTTTTTCTTCTGAAAGTTGTTTTTCATTTACTGAGGGATAATCACAAGAAATCGCAGGTTTTGGTTTCTTTCTCTTTTCTTCTTCTGCTTCAGCATGATCTTCATCACTTCGAAAATACATTTTCTCTCCAAACCCTAGTCCCATGTAATCTTTGTTATAGATTTGAAGGCAATTAACTTTCTTAAGATTACGTGGGTTGGTTATGCCCAGACCTGTTTTAGCATTGTAGAATCGGTCATCCTTTTGTTTGTTGTTAAGCACAAAAACAGTTTGTTCAGATTGACCTCTTCTAGCAGCTAGATCTTCTAGTTCTTTTACTTTATTTAAAAGCGTTCTTCTTTTGTTATGCAAAAAATCGCATTCAGCCTTTGTTGTGCTTTTTTCCCGTTCACTGTCCTCAAATTTCTTAGTTAATTCAGCTATCTTAAGTTCAAAGCTTTCAAAATCTGAAGACACCTTTTTGACTTGATCTTTTGCAATTTCAAGTTGAATACTTAAGGAAGACTTTTGGTCTAGATTCTGTTTCAGAACTCTATGATTATTGTCTAGTCTCTCCCTTAGTTCTTTGATTAGACTGTCCTTTTCAAGTAAGGACTGCAGTTGATTATCTAAAGAAGTATGTGAAGTACTTACAGAGCTTGTTGAGCAGTTGCCTTCGGGGATCGCAGCATCACCCTTTATTTCATCTCCCTCCACTCGTGCCATAAGAGCATAGTTGTCTTCCTCTTCCTCCTCCTCAGAAGAATCTTCTGCCCAGTTCTCATTTTCAGCAATCATGGGAGAGGTTTCTTCTTCTTTCTGCACCATCAGCATTTTCTGCTTATTCCACAGCATCTTCTGCTTGTAGAAGTTAGCATCTTTCTTCTTTGGGAGGCGGCAGTCTTTGATCACATGTCCAGGCTTGCCGCAATTATAGCATTTAGGAGCTTCTTCTGCTGATGACTTCCTAGAAGATCCTTGATCATGATTCTTCTGTTTGTAGTTTGAGGAGGAAGTTCTCAGCCTGTTGGAGGAAGTGTTCTTCTTTGCAAATCTTTTGGCCAGCATTGCCATCTTCTTCTGTAAGTCTGCTAGCTCAGCCTCTAGATCAGATTTGTCATCGTCACTCTCATCATCATCTGATTCAACCACCATCTTCTTCTTTTTCTTCTTTAGTGAAGTGGTTGTTCTTCTAGGCTCAGCATCCATTACAAGAGCTAAAGGGTTTGTGGTGTGATGATCCTCAGCGCATGCAACCTCGTTGACGAATTGCTTCAGATGTTCATAGAGTGTGCAGAGGTCAATTTCGTCCAGATCTATCCGTGATCTGACATCCTTCACTGTCTTTTCCCAAGCAGGATGCAGGCTGGATAAAAATCTAATATTTAGTTCCAGATTGGACTTGAATACTTTGATCTTTCTGAGTTCATTTACCAGTTGAACAAGTCTATTGTAAGTCTCATTCAATGGTTCTCCTGGTCCTGCTTTGAAGGAGTCATAAGCGATGAGAATTGTAGTCTTCTTTGTTTTGAGGCTGATGCTTGTGCCTTGTAGCAGCTTCTCTATTTCATCCCACATCTCCTTAGCTGTCTGCATGCTATCTATGAGAACATAAACCTCGTTCGGTATTGCTTGAAGGAGATACGTTTTGGCCATAAGATCACCACGAAGTCTGAGCTTGTCGGCTTCTGTGTATTCAGATGGAACTTTTCTCCTTATTTCTGGAAAAATAGGAGGATTGTTCTCTGGATCTCCACCAACTGAAATCAAGAGTTCAGCTGGTCCTTCAAGCAAAGATTCGAGCATTGCAGAAGAGTTTTCTTTGTGCTCGAGGAAATTTAGAAATCTGTTCCTCCACATTTGGTATTCTCCCTTCCTGAGGCTAGGAGGGGTACTGCTGTTCCCTTGTGCATTGTATTCTGAACCCATTGCTGTACTAAACTGACCGTTCGAGAAAATTGATCAAAAGATTTTCAGAGGCAGAATCTCGAAAAATCAGATGTCGAGATCTAAATATCGAAATCTCAGATTTCGATAAAGGAGGCCCGGTATCGAGATTTGGGCTCGAGATTAAGGATCTCGAGATTTGGGATCTCGAGATTTCAAATTTCGAGATGCTGATCTCGAGATTTGAAATGTCGAGAAGTTAATATCTCGAAATCTTAATCCGATGAGTCAAATGTCGAGACCAGATGTCGAAACCTTTTCTCGAAATCAAGATTTCGAAATCCTAGATGTCGAAATCCTTAATGTCGAAATCTTTCAACCTGTAAAAATCAGATAATCAAAATCTGAAGATAGTTTCCTGTAGAGTTGAATGTCGAGATCTTCTGGTAAAGTTTTCAGCTCGAAAAACGTAGCAGAACCTGTGAAGAACTAGGATGTCGAGATGCCTAGCTCGAGATATCTCGAAATAAAAAAAAGCGTAAAACACAAACTGAAGTATACCCTTTGATCGCTTTGAAAAGGCGATTCCAAAGGTGTAACTTTTACAACTTTTGAACAAGAAACAAAATTACAGAGCAAAAAATCGACAGAATGAACTACGTAAACAAAAACAGAGTATTCTGCAGGAGTTCTTCTGATCGTTCTCGATCGGCTCTGATACCAATTGTTAGTCCCTGTTTCAGTAACAGCAATGAATAATCGATCTAACAAGGAAGATTAAACGTAAAGATGAACACAGAATGAATCACCGTAAAACCTTCTTTGATAAACCGTGGAACGTACAGCAGAATGATATAAGCGTAAGGCTATGAATAATAAGTACGACGTTCAACCTTTTCCTAAACCTCGGCTCCCTTTTTATAGGCGAGGTTTAGGTTAGGCGAAACAGACTTTTGGCCTGTTTAAATGGGCCTAACACTTGGCCTGATTTCTATCTAATTTATGCACTATTTAAATACAAGGATTAAATATAAAGCTAATCTATGACCAACTTGATTCACAATAAAATATCTCCAACAATAATTTAAAAGAAAAAAAAGAAAACCCCATCCCCGTGACCCCGTGTTATTGTATTGTTACAATACAAAATATACAATTGTTAAATACTAAAATTAATTGCATGATGACTAAAGCTAGCATCCTAAAAGACTAAAATCTAAAATACTACTACGTATTAGATTTGTGATGTTCTTTTCCAAACAAGCATATCAAAATTAAGATTTTTCTAAACCTGACATTTTTTAGTATAAACTTTTGCACATAAACAATAATAAGTGCAACAGTCGCACAACTTTCTCATGTCATCCGTCATCTAGGTGAAAATGATGAGTTTAACTTGAGTGTTATTTGATGATCATATAAAGATGATGATGTTAACTTGGCCTCATTCTATCATTATTATGCCTTATTTTCTGATATACTTTGCAAAATTATGTCTTGGACTTAATTACTCCGTACTATTTTTACTTTTGTCATCAACTTATGCAATTACGAATTATTCTTTTATGTAGTAATGTGATTTGCTACTCAATATGTGTACACTCTTATTTCTTTTTATTATATGTTATTTTATGAAGTATATACTTTAAATGTTATTTTGGACTTGATCATTATTTTTTTGTCATGACCTTATGCTATTATGAATCCATTTTTTGATGGAGTAAGGAGATATTATATTTGAATGTGTGTATGTTGATTACCCTTTATGTAGTATATGTTTTTTATGCTCTAAAAACTGGTACAATAATTTAATCATTCCAAATAAGACCCGTATTTTTAACCCAATTTTTTCTAAGAGATGTCGTATTATACACGTATACGTATTTACACGTTTAATAAAAGTCAACGTATTTTTTGCCGAACTTTTGACCGTTTTTTTGTTCAAATTACCGAATAAAACACGTGCGTATTAAATCACGTTTAATTCCGATACCGTATTTAACTAACTATGGACGCACCTGTTTTTCCTTTAAAGACTTTTTTTTTTCAAAATGAAGCACAAAATAGTAATTTCATCAAATAGTCGAAAATTGGAATGTCAATAATCCTACAAAACAGGTGTAACTGAAACATTGAGAAGGGGAAATACAGAAGCAAAAGAGATCAGCCGTAAGATGCAGATGATACGAGGTCAAAGACGTAAATCTACTTGGATCTCTGTCTCATCTTTCGGCGCTTCCTCTTGAGCCTCCTCATACGTTTCTTCTTCCACTTGGCTCTCATGCTGAAGTGTTTTTTAGGTTTCAAAGAGACTCGATTCTGAGCGGCGATGCCAAAATCCTTTTAAAGACTTCCGCTGTACTCTAAATTTGTTTTATAATAAAGGTGATTTCGTTTAGAAACGTGATTTTATTTAAATGGGGAAAATGGGGGTGTTACATATATTCTCTACTCCTATTACAACATTTAAATTGTGATTTTTATGTGTGTGTCCTGCTATAACTTTGTGATCTGCTAGTCATGAATTCAGAAGGCTGTGCTGAATCAATGAGCTTTAAAGTTATTTACGAAAATTATACATACAGGGAAACATTGTGTAGAAAAATTGCTGTAACTAGAGAGATTTATATGACCTGAAATTGTTTAACGTTTAACGTCTCTATTTTCTCCCCCTGACTCTTACAGGCTGTGGTGATTGATGAAGTCGACAATTTTCTTTTCCGTCCTCATCTTGGAATGCGAGCCAAATACCATGCTGTATGTCAAGCTATTTAAATGTGTTACCTTTAATGTTTTAATTGTTTCGTCAGATTATTATGGAGTTCTGAATTCAATGCTCTTCAGATTACATTCTTCCCGGTTAAAATTTTACCCCTAATAGACTTTATTGAATTGACAGATCAACTTTTTGAGTCATAGGGGAGATGGTCCTAAGATAGCAAAACGTTTGATAGAAGTGTATTTTGCCCTATTTAAGGTAATGGGAAAGCTACCCTATATTAATTACATGTATTTTGTTTTCTCTTTACTTCTATGCAACTTAAGCATTTCAATGTCCTAGATTTTGGATCGTCGAAATTTGGCAAATAATAATAACTAGTTGCACTGAACTAAACTTCCTAGATCAGTAAGGTTTTCTTATATTCATTTTTCAAAATCCTATTCCAGGTATTGATTTCTGAGACGGATAGAGGGGAAAACATGAACAAAAAGGATGGAAGGCAAAATTTGAAAGATAATGTAAAAGATAATGAATCGAAAAATATGCTGGAGTTGCATGTGGAGTTGGATTCACGGTTATTGTCAGCCCTTTTAACTGTCAGTAGCAACACCCAGTTTAATCTTTGTATATACACCCACCATATTCTTTTGTTTGCTGCACTTTCCTTTTCGGGATGTATTTTAGTTTTTGCTGCATTTTCCCTTTTTGGTAAGTTTTCCCTTTAAAATACTCAATTACCCTTATTTTTTCTACTTTTTATCTTCTATTTCATACTTTTCCGTCCCCTCTCCTACTTTTTCAACCCTACTACTTTTCCTATAAATAATGTGCCAAACCCTATGGTAGCAAAGGAGTATATTTTGTTATCTAGGTTGAACCAACTCTTCAACAATTCATCCTCTGTTGGTATTTATGATCAATATTCATTAGTGTTAAAACCAGTATTTAACAATCAAACAACCATAACAAAAAGAATAAGCAAATAGAAAGATATCGAGAAGATTAAAACCGAATCTGGTATACCGTATGAACTGTCCGCTGCTCTCCCTGGAGAAGGA